GGAAAACATATCCGCTTGCTGTTCCAGCAAACATAATTGATGTGCTGCCCTTAGTGTAATTCATTATATTTTCAGGATACTTACATCCCCTTTTGAAAATAAATTTCTTTTTTCCCGGATCATCCCCAAGATTCGTTTCATCATAATTGATAATGCAGGTATTGGGAATATCTTTCAAAGATAATTTAAGATTATCAAAATAATTAGTCATTTCACACTTTGTCTTTTCAGCTCTGGACCTTTTTATGTTTGCAGCTGACCTTAGTCTAATATCAGCTTTATGCCTGCTGATGAAGCTTGCAACCCAATCACAACCTGGTATATTATTTGGGAATTGCTTGATCACTCTGCCCTGAAGGGACAACATCCGTTTGGCTATCATGCGGATCTCAAGAGTAGTTATAGGCTGACCCCACTCTGCACAAACTTTTAAAGATTTTACTAATTGCAGTTCTTCCTCTTCGGAAAATATAGTTTGACCGCCAGCTCTTTTTGTATGCTTTTTATCTATTTTATTTTTCAACGTTCTGAAAGGAATTCCATGGGCTTCCCCAGCCTGTCTATATGATATTCCATTTCGAACATCTTCAATTGCAGCTTCAAGTTTTTCAGCTGTATAATCCCGATATCTTCGAGATCCTAACTTTCGTTTATATAGTCTTGGCATTTTATAATTTAAGTTAAAGTGAGAATTAGGGGCACTGTATCATCACTACAAGAGAATAAAACAATTATGATTATTTGTAATCAAATGAAAATTGGGCTAAAACCATTAAAAAGGCCACATCAAATGGAATAAAGGTTGTGCAAAATCACCCCACAACTTGGTGAAAAAAGACCCTGGTGGGAAAAGATGATTTTTAAAAAATACTAAACATACTATTACCAAATTAATTACAGTTTTAGATTAAGGATATAACATATATTACCTATACTCAAACCTGGGTTACTCTATACATATTTTATATTTGTTTTACCATAAAGTTTCAAAGTGAAAAATAAACTCAAAATATTCTGTGGTTACATGTGACTAGATAACTGAAGCAGTGGAGGAGTAAGATGGCTGAAAATTAATGTCTGTTATAGCTAATAAGTGTCTCTAATAGAAAACAAACACTTTAGATTATGAACATTGTATTACTCTGAAATACATTGATCTAAATAAAAATCTGAAAACTGTGCAAAGTCACACTCGAAGTGCAATGTCACCCCACTTTACGGTACCAAGTTTGATGAAAATCGGATAATGAATAAGAAAGTTGGCAATGCGCATGTGCACTACACAAATTCGAAAATTCCATCAAATTTAGAATTTGATTATACACATACATACCAAGTTTCATGAAAATCGGATAAGAAATGAGAAAGTTGGCAATGCGCATGCGCACTTCGCAAATTCGAAA